GAATAGAATTAGAATAGAGAGTGCTAGAGTTAGAGGGTCAAATAAAGATGGAAGAGATGTGTTTCCAGGAGGAAACATTTAATGTAAAAGTCTGTGAAAGTGATTTTGTGCCTCTTTGGGATGGCACACTAAAGCGACGTTCACTTGAAGAACGCAAGCTTCTAGAGGACACATAAGTCTGAAGTAATGAATTTAGGTAAAGGGCTGCAGAGTGTTTTGTAGGCAAACATCAATGCCTTTAATTTTATGCGAGCAGCTATTGGTAGCCAGTGCAAACTGATAAACAGAGGTGTGACGTGCATTCTTTTTGGCTGCGAAGAGAGCATTGCAATGTCCAGCCTGGACAGAACAAGAGCTTGAACATGTTCTGAAAGAAAGGGCCTGATCTTCCTGATGTTGAATAAAGCAAATCTGCAGGACCGGACAGTTTTAGCAATGTGGTCTAAGGCAGTCTCGGTTGAATGTCCACTTCTGAAACCAGACTGGTTGACAAGAGAAAATGACCAGACCAGAGACCAGACAAAATGGCCAGCTGAGAGAGCATATACAGTTTATGTCTTGGACGTGAACAGCTGGGAGAAAATCTGATGGGTGTAAATCAGTCACCTTCTGACGATTGGGCCAACAACAAAATGCAAACAGAAAATCAATCACAGCTCTTAATCTGAGTAACGTTAGCTTTAATCTAAATAAATCCATCAAATTATACAGTGAAAACTATGCAGTCATATTTTTATTAGATTTGTTTTGTAGGCTATATTACTTACCTGAACAGTAATGTTAGTACACCTCCATGAAAAAAATTAAAGCACTGTTTATTTAATTTGTATCTTTGTTTTATTGCATTTGTCAGTTTGTTTTACTTTGTGTCTTTGTTTATGTTCTTACCGTATCTTATCTTATGTATATAAAACACTAAAAATGCCTGCACACTGGTGCATTTACAAATTGATGTTTTATATTCATTTGATTAAATGATTTTTATTTTACATTTCAGAAGATATATATATATATATATATATATATACACATATATATAAAGTACCGATAAGAATACGGTTAAAGTACCGGATTAATAAGCAGTATCAGTAAGTGTAGTAATACCGTTAAAACCAAACCATCCCCATCCATATCCTGCAGATACCATGAAAATAGTGAAATAAAATTCCTTCCTTGATATTTTCTGATATTTATGTATTGAAAATGTTTTTGGTTTATGCTTTGACTCCTGTCTAATTTTCTACATTTAAAAAATTGACTTTTTTTTTTTTGGGCTAGTTACATTTATTTCAGGCTACCAAAATGTGAAGAGTGCCTGTCCGAAGGTCTACCAGGGATTGCGAAAATTTGTGAGCCCTGCATTTCATGAAACTGGGCCCTGAATACTTTCTTGCATGCACTGTACGTGTGATATTTAAGGGACATTCATCCAATGATAATTAATTTAGCTCTAGGTCCACTAAAACATTTTAATTGTGTTCAAGAATGGCCCAATCAAACTTTTGTGGAATGACTTACTAATTTCTCTACTGCCATCAAAGTCAAAATAAACATAAATATATGAGTAGATAAATTAGATGACTCACATATTTCATCCACTGATAACTTTTCAGTTTCCACCCAATCAGACATTTCTCCATGTAGCTCTGCCTGAACACGAAGTTGATAGGTTCCAAAAACTGAAACTTTGTCAGTGAAATCACAGCTTAGTGATGAGCTGCTTAGACACACTGGCTTATACATATTCCATCCTCTAGAGGGAGAAAATTAAACAACAATTAACATAACAAAATGCATAACCATCCACCTAGATCAACACAGCTTCACACAAAGACTGCTTCTAAACCCTTCTGTACACCACTGCTTTTCCTTCATGATTAAATGTTGACTTTTGTCTCTTTTTAAAGACAGGTCTCTTTTATAAGATCTGACCTGGATTTAAATCAGGTTTTAGTATCATATTATTGTCAAGCTGCTGCTGCTGCTGCTGCTACTAAAATAATAAACTAACCTACATTTGTTAAAACCTTCTTTAGTGCACTTATCATCACCCTTGACCTGACTCTTGACCAGTAACTTACTTCATTTCAGCAGTGTAGTTGAAGAGTGTATTCGTGGTGTTTTGTGGTGGATCCCATTCCAAAATTAATCCCTTGTTCAGAGATGTCATTCTCACATTCTCAGGGGCCGGGACCTTCTCTGACAACACTCAAACACACAAACATATAGATATTTAAATAAATGGCAGCCACAAAGGTTTACTAAAATACACACTACCGCAACTGTGCAGCGACAAATAAATGTTAAACAAAGCAAAACTATATTTCCTAAACTGGATCTTATCGAAATACAAATAATAATAATAATACAAATAATAATAATAAAACACAAATAATACAATTCATTAAAACGTTGCCTTTAGTAAGCCTATAGTATAGTTTAGTATGATAGTTAGTTCAGAAATGTGTCTGAATCTCTGTTGACATGAATGTTTTTGTCTGAATCCATTAATACAGAAACAGGACGTTCAGCGAACATTTACTGTCAGACACAAACGGATTTTCCTCTAAAATACTACCACGACTAAAGTTTAAATAACAACGCAGTGTTAAAGAATAAAGTATGGTATGAACTAGCAGCCTAAGAGTTTTTTTCCCCTCTTTCATGAGGTTTCATTCGCGTAAAGACTCTTTAAGCATATTATGAATGAAACTCACCTGCTGTGAGGCAGAAGATATAAAACAATAAGACCACAGACAGACAGGATAAAGCGGTCATCGTTCTTCTTTAAAAGTGCAGGAGCACCTGTATAAAGTTCACAGTTTGATCTTACTGTAAGTTTGCGCTTTGAGAGCGCGTATACCGTACGTCGTTTGTTTATTTCCTTGTATGTGAATAGGTCTAGAAGGAACGAGAAAGGGAACCTAAAACGCACGCAGATATACAACAGTAGTGTACGTTTACAAGAAATGGAGGTGTCAAGCTGGTAAGGAGGCCAATAGTATGCAGCTGCAGACCCAGAAGTGCAGGAAAGAATGAGCAAGACAGAGACAGTTCGGTAAAGTTAGCAAGATATTCACAGATTCGACTTTTCCGGATAAATAACTCACGAGCAAAAAATTTTTATTACACAATTGACGCCTCTTTTCTTTCGTAGTGATGTAGAAAACGAGCTACAGGCGAGTTTTCCTCAAAACAAGCTTTCCTCCGCTCTGTACAAAATACATTGATCTCAATGCGCTGGCGCCTGAGAGACAAGTCCGAAGGGACCGACCGTCTGCAAAGTGCGAAATGCGAAAAGTGTTACTACTCAAAAACTTCACTGTAACACGCTGCGGCTCTAGTGTCACCAAATTCAGTTCACACATCACTCACTGCTCTCCTGCTGGTTATTCTACAACACTTATTGGAAATAAAATATATATATTTAAAAAAATCATAAAAATCATTAAAAAGCAATTAATTTAAAAATAAGTGTTGTAGTATAACCAGCAGGAGAGCAGTGTGTGAATCTGGAGAAAGTACAGTGTGTTACAGTGAAGTTATGTCACCAATGACGTTATGATATTTGTTTCACGTGTCAATTAAAGTGTGGTTATGAGTACATCACATAAGAAAGATTGGTGGGATCTCTAACTTGTAGAACCTCTTTCTGTATCATCAACACAAGGAAGACACAAGTGTAATACAATAGATTTTATTAACAAAAGATAGACAAGAGTAATCAACAACTACTAAATGAATACCATAAATGAGATAGGAATAAAGTGCATAAGATGCATAAAATACAAGTGATTATGTTGGGTGTTGCAATGTCAGAGCTACGTTATCTGGAAAGATAAACTGTTGCTACTCTGAAAGAAATAAGGTGAAGAACCCTATTATGCATCAAACAAATACATCAAAGATTTCCATAAACTGCAATCAGCTATATAATATGTAATGTAAATTTAAAAAATCATATACTGATAATATCTAACAATGCCAAGGTCTCTGGAAGAGGTTTGGATAAGTGATCAGGAATCCGATTCAACAGCCTTGAACACGAAGCGCTGGAGGATGCTGATCTCCTGGAGCACCAAAGGGTCCTAGAATTTGGAACACACAGATGTGGCCCTGGAGTAGGTGCAGAAGGTCCTTAGCCTGGAACACGCAAGTAAAGGTACCTTGGAGTGAAGGTTTGCTTGCCGGAGCTTAACCTTGTTGCAGATGTCTGTGTGTCTTCGGCCTCTCTGGGCTAGAGACTCAGAATTTGGTTGATCTGCTTTGTCTCTCTAAGATGGAGACTCAGGACGTGCTGCATCTGTTGTTGTCTTACTGGAAGAAGACTCTGAATGAAGTCTGAACATAGATTATCTCTTTCCTCGCAGGCTGGAGACTCAGAAGTGGTCGTATCTGTTGCTGCCTCGAAGCTGGAGACTCAGAACTTGGTATCTGTTATTGCCTCTTCCCCCATGGGCCAGAGGTTCAGAACGTTGGTGATCTGTTGCAGTCCTTTCCTTGACAGGACTCAGACTCAGAACGGATCAAAAGCAATTATTGTTAAAATAAGTGTTGTAGTTTAACCAGCAAGAGAGAAGTGATGTGTGAACTGAATTCGGTGAAATTACAGTGTGTTACAGTGAAGTTATTGACTATTTTGTCCAAAAACAGTGAATTTATTGAATATTTAAAAAAACTAATAATAAAAATCATTCAAAAGCAATTATTTTCAAAATAAGTGTTGTACAGTAAAACCAGCAGGAGAGCAGTGATGTGTGAACTGAATTTGGTG